TTCCCTTGTGAAGATTTCACTACTTCGCCTGAAGTATATCCATAGGGAATGGAAGAGGAAGGGAATCCCATTCCCTTGTGTGTAAGCTAAGTAAATGTATCTTGTAATTTAAACAATCCAATGTAAATATGGGGTACCCATGAAGGGAACGGAATCCGTTCTCCCTCCCATCATTCAGGCATAGTGAAATACTGAAGCTGGGCTCGGATCTGCTTCCTCTAAAAAGTCCTGTTTTGATGGGAATCGAGCGTGCACGCGCTCTTCCCTACTTTTGCAATGATTCATGTGAAATTTTAAACTTTGTCCTAGAGATGCGAAATTTGGCATGCACATGCACCAACATATGCTGCATCATAATATAACATCAATTCCCGTTCCGTTCGCTATAAATTTTTCAGGAAAAATCAAAAACCAAACGGAATAGGAGTGACATTTGGTTTTTGATTTTTCCTGAAAAATTTATAGCGAACGGAACGGGAATTGATGTTAGATTATGAAGCAGCATATCTTGGTGTATGTGCATGCCAAATTTCGCATCTCTACGACAAAGTTTAAAATTTCACATGAATCATTGCAAAAGTAGGGAAGAGCGTGTGCACGCTCGATTCCCATCAAAACAGGACTTTTTAGAGGAAGCAGATCCGAGCCCAGCTACAGTATATATCTCAGGTTTGGGAACGGGCATGAATGAATGGACCTGAACGGAACGTCGGTAACCAAATATAACGGGGGCACTCCATCCAACTCCCCCAGCAGAGCGGTAACCATATCCCAGGGGGCACACCCTCCCACTCCCCCCAGCAGAGCGGTAACCACATCCCAGGGGGCACACCCTCCACTTTCCCCCAGCAGAGGGATAACCACATCCCAGGGGGGCACACCCTCCCACTCCCCCAGGAGAACGGTAACCCTATCCCAGGGGACACACCGTCCTACTCCCCCAGCAGAACGGTAACCCTATCCCAAGGGGGCACACCCTCCACTTCCCCCCTCCAGAGCGATAACCATAGCCAAAATGGATACAACCAATTATTCCCCCCAGCAGAGCGACAACCGCACTTAATTATTTCCGTTAACTTCCCTTCCTGATAAGCTAGTCAGCAAATCCTGGATAACTGACTTATCAACTTTCCAAAACAGTTGATATGCAAATCACTTTCTCCACTTTCACTTCCGTCACGGAAAATTACTTTCACTTCCGTTGCAGACAAACATTTCCAGCTTATAATATAGATAGGTATATCATTTTGGAAGAGTGGTATATTCATAAAATAATACCAAGCGGTATTACTTATCAATCCCGCTTTGGGAGTCACATATATGAATACCGCTTGGTATTATTTTACCATTGGTTTCTAAGAGTGTAGAATTAGCAATTCAACCTTCCTGGGAATATTTAGTTTCGATACAAATTTAGTGTTAAATGCATCTTATTTATGAATTCTTTCAGGACTGTACCCCGTCGCAAATTGTGTGTCACGATTCTCAACTATTTATCGACACGATGAGCTTTTTGCTCCCTCCTGGAGTACAATTCAATTTCCAGAACGGTGTCGTGGTACTTGTCTACGCTGCTGAAAACTATTACGGTCACTGCTACTGTCCTAATCTTGTCCAGCCAGGTGTAAACCCATGCGTCCGACCGGAAAACCCAACAATTTGCGAGCCATAGTGATTTCATGGTTTCATTCTGTGTTCGTACATGTTTATCTTGCATGAAAATTGTGTCGAAATTTGTAATAAAATTTAAATTTCTCTGCACGCATTTTTTCAAAATTTAAGTTTAAATGAGATTTCATACATATTTAGCATGAAACTTAATACCTACATAAGTCTGAAACACATTTTACACACACTTTTCTTCGCGTACTAATTGTCCACCATACCTTGAGTTTGTAATTTGTATTGCTTATTGAAAAAAATATGTTTTTCCTAATTTTTGGTTTGACTTTTTGATATAAATATTTTCCAGACCATCGTGGTGTACTTGAAAAAAGGTTAAGTTTTTGGTTAGGTTAGGTTATGTTTTTGGTTAGGTCCAAAAATGTTAAGGTGTGGCTTTTTTAAATTTTGATTGAAAAAAATTATATACAAATAAAATTTTTGCTTTCAATCGGATTCAGGTTTTTCACCTTCAAAGCACAAATTAACATCTCGCGAGTCTTACATAAATACACACAAATACAAGTTAAAGTATTACTGATATTTGAGAATAGGAATATTATACAGTGGCAGCAAGATAACCTTACCCCGCCGAATCTCAAGGCCATGCGCGCACAACGACAGGCTCGATCCCGCACAAATCGCCTAAAAATGAGGGTCTAGTTTTTACACTCTGGTGACCGCAATATTTGACCGTTTGAGGTCATATTTGGCACACACATTGCCAATCACATTCCCCAGGGTGGTTTTCAAGGATTTTGACCTAGGTCACTTCAGTGACCTTCCAGAAATCACCAAACTTGTTGCATGATATTTGGTTTTTACACTCTAGTGACCGTAATAGTTGACCTTATGAGGTCAAACTTGGCACACACACTCACAACCATATTCCCCAGGGTGGTTCTCAAGGATTTTGACCTAGGTCCCGTGAATGACCTTCCAGAAATTACCAAACGTTTTGCATAATATTTTGTTTTTACACTCTAGTGACCGTAATGCTTGATCTTTGGAGGTCAAACTTGGCACACACACACTCACAACCATATTCCCCAGGGTGGTTTTCAAGGATATTGACCTAGGTCACCTGCGTGACCCTCCAGAAATCATCAAACTTTTAGCATAATATTTGGTTTTTACACTCTAGTAACCGTACTTTTTGACCTCTTGGGGTCTTATTTGGCACACGGACTCGCAACCATATTCCCTAGGGCTGTTTTCAAGAAGTTTGAGCTAGGTCACTTCACTGACCCCACACAGGTCATTCGAGTTTTATGACCTCTGTGGGGTCACTGAAGTGACCAAGCTTAAAATCCTTGAAAACCACCCTGGGGAATATGGTTGCGAGTCTGTGTGCCAAGTTTGAGCTCAAAAGGTCAAAAAGTACGGTCATTAGAGTGTAAAAACCAAATATTATGCAAAAAGTTTGGTGATTTCTGGAAGGTCACGTAGGTGACCTAGGTCAAAACCCTTGAAAACCTGGGGAATGTGATGGGCAATGAGTATGCCAAATATGACCTCAAACGGTCAAATATTACGGTCACTAGAGTGGTAAAAACGAGACCCTCATTTTTAGGCGATTTATGCGGGATCGAGCCTGTCGTTGTGCGCGCATGGCCTTGAGATTCGGCGGGGTAAGGTTATCTTGATGCCACTGTACTTGAGCTACGATAATTTCTCCGGATTTTCGGGACGAGAAAAGCATTTGAGGCTGCCGTAGGCTTCTGTGGCCTCCGGAAAGACACTCGGTGAAAACGCTAGTTGCTGGCCAATGGCAAATTTTGAAATGGATAAATAATAAATTGACGCTCTTGCTGGTAAATGGGCTAACTTGCTGCTAAGTTTCCTTGTGAATTGATTAACCACTTCAACCCTAGGAGACGAGTTTTTTCATACCTTTCACCCCTAGTAACCGCGAATTTTTACCTCCCTTGAGCCCGAAATTTTTATCTACTGCATGACGTTAATTCCTGGGCCATGAATGGTGTTCCCACCGGAATTATTCTGGACACTTTTTTATGAAAATTGATGTGAATAACCTTTCAAGAAGGGATTTAGAGTTATAATTTGCATTTTTGAGTTGTGGCGAACCACCAATGTTTATAGCCGAAAATAGCCAACACGCCGAATTTTAAAAATGATTGTAATTGCATGAAAAGTTAGACAAGCATGGAGTAATACTTGCATAATAGTACGTAAACTCGCAAATATTGATTATAGCGCCTTAGGAGCCGATTTTGGGCGGGAAAACCAAAAATCCTTACAATGACTTTAAATAGACAGCAATGGCAATGAATAATTATCCCGTGAGAGGAAATTGCTCGAAAATAGACTATGGCGCATCTGGTGAATAGAAATCAATTTAAAGCGGGAAAATTAAATTCTACTAATTCCTGCAATCTCTTAATTTTTAATTTTCCCGCCCAAAAGATATTTCAGCGGCACCCGATACGTAATCATTAATTTTGACGTAGTTTACCCTACTGGCAAGATTATTTGTGGCCTATAATTAAATCCATGCAATGATGGAATTCAACCAACTTTTAGTTTTCTCGCCCAAAACGCCCGTTTGTGCTAAATGCGAGCAAAACAATTTCTCTAATCTTATCGTAAAGCGTTGTTGAAATAAATCGGTGTCGAAATTTCCGTGCAAAAAACAGTTTTCACAACTCGGCGTGTTGGCTAGATATAGCCACTTGGCTATTAATTTATTTTCCCTTTCTAATGTTATTTCCTAACAGAAAATTTATCTTCCCGCCTAAAGGGCGGGTTGTTGACTCATAACGCTTGCTTTGCTTTGCTTGGAGAGGCAATGACCTAATTTTTTCCGGATACGACACATAGTCGTAGGCCGGTGTGAACGGAAAATACGCCACATAGTCGTATCCGTTGTCAAGGGTCAATACGACACATCGTCGTATTCCGGTGCCAAGGGAACTTACGCCACATGGTCGTACTCGGCGTAAAGGTCAAATACGCCACATAGTCATTATAGGGGCGAAGTGGTTAATGTCCAAAATTAAATAACAACTTAATTACCCGTTACCCGTGCGGGTAGTTCTCGCTACCCGCAGAAAACGGGTACCCGCAAGAATCGTGCGGGTATGCGGGTAACGGGTACCCGCGGCAACCCTAGTATTAGTTTAGATTTAAATGCTGGAATTGTCTTTCAACCCTGCCATAGCGATGACTAAATTTCAGGTGTATGTATGTATCTCAAGCTTTTGCATGTAAATGGGAATGTTCTGGTATCGAACAAAGGATTATATTTTATTATTAGAACGAAAGGGTTGAACATTTTCTACATGTTACAGCTTTAGCCTGAGGAAAGAGTTGATCTTTTTTCCTTAATTTTTCAGTCCAACTGAAAATACACTTCCTATAAGCTTCACAACATTAATTTTTAAACTTTACACAATTTCCCAAACTTTTGTATTGATTTAAAGCGAAAGGAAAAACAATACTTGCAGAAACAATGATCAACGAAATTGATCTCATCCCAAAGCTGGAACAAGAGGTATTTTTTTTATTTTACACAATTCAACCCAATTTAATTAATTAAATTCATACAATTTCGAAGTAATACATAAAACAGTAAAGTCCTATTTACATAATATGTAGTACTTATTGTACTAGTCCCAACTGTTTTTTAGTCCGAGTCACGACCTAATTAATCTACCCGTCGTGTCGATCCATCTGTATGGAAATGCCACCACACATTGTTCTGGTTCAGTACATTAGTCGCATAAGGTCGTCTTTAAAGAATATTCAAAATGGTTGTATGTAGGCTAATATTAGAAATAATAATCATCCGATGTTACCCTCTTAAAAACCCGGTAATAACGTTTATCGACTAATTGTGACAAGTTAGCACCAGCCAGTGACAATGTGTTATCATGCAGGCAAGATTTATCACCATGTGGTGAGAAACACTTGTCTTCAAGTCACATATGCACATAGAGCAGTTACGATTAACACAGGGCTTTTAAGAGTATATTTATGTACATTAATTATTTATTTTATGGAGAATAGTTTCACTAAATCAGTGACTCGGGCAAATTGAAGTTCGATTCCAGGAAAAGTTTATATTTCCATCAGCCAAACAAATCCTTTGGGACTGATATATATCTAATTTTTCTATTTCCGGGTTCATCCACAGGCTACTGGGGATGACAACAACTTGGACGAGGTCGTCCCCAAAAAGGGGGCAAGGGTACCCAGAAAACCCCTTCACAAACTTACAACGCAGCAGGCTGTCCTCAAAAATGAGAACGGAACGTATTGGTCATTCTACAAAGTCGAACTCGCGTACAAAACCACCACCGATAATCCGATCCCGATTCATTATTATAAAGGAAGCAATATGTTTTTGGAAATTGAGGCTGTCAAGAAAACAGCGCGTCTGGCGTCGTATAGCCCCCACGGAATTGTGCACTATCAGGACGTAATCGTGGACTGGGATGAGTCCAAAAGAGCAGAATATGAGTTTATTTGTACTGACAGGCCATCAATTATCCTTAAAGTTAAACAATTGTACTTCTTTTTCATGCTCAAAAGCTCAAAAGATTTTGACAGTGTGGCCAAAGTAAGCTTTTTCTTTTGAGAACATTTGAGTATCCAGCTTTTTGAAATTCCAATAGTAGGACTCATCACTAAATTCGTCAAAATGAGAACACTTTAAATTATTTCTCCTCTTTGGGAATTCATTTTAAAATTATGAACTACAGGTTTATAGAGTTTTTTGAAAAATTTTGATTAATAGAATTGCGGTGAGTTTTTAAAATTAAAATCAACAAGTTCCAATGAGTTTAAATTAATAATAATTAGTTCCAATTTTTTAAGGATTCTAAGACGTGAAATGGGCTCATTCAAAATGTTGTTAAATATTAAATATCGTATTTATGTACATATATATTTCAGGGATTTTTCATACATTAATACTCGTCCTCTGAATATTACATATACTGATACTGTATATATATATCTCTCTAATAGCATTGGCTGTAATATTAAAATCTTGATGAGTGTATCCAAAATTATGTGTGTATTTATACACACATATTGAAACAACGTGTATATGCATATGTATATGTATGTATTTTAGACACCTCAGGTCACTCTGAATAAAATAATGAAAGTATGTATTTTTCACTTCATATTTATTTACATACATATACAAAAAAAAAACATTAAATAATTAATTACAAGTAAGTAGCTCGTAGATTGAAGTAGTAACAAATAACCCCAGTAGTAAATTTGTTTATTAATGTAAATTACTTCTGTTAAATACACAGTAAAAAATTAATATAGTTTTGTATAATATAATTTTGTGCTTTCCATTATTGAAGGCATTACTTTATTCTCCCGAATTTAAACCATCTCACACCCCTTCTTCCCAATAATGTCTCATTATGTCGAACTGTTCCACATCGAATATTTTAAACTCTTCCTGCAAACGTATCACTTTTCCGCGCTCTTGTGGCGGCACACTTTCCGCAAAAATGACGACGGGTTCATCATAATCCCCGTATTGACACTCCCGTCGCATCTCGCATTCCGCACAATTACCGCAATTATGATCATAGTCGAAAATCACTTTAAAATTGACCATCTCCAACTTAAGCTCGCCCTCAATCACAAATTCTGGCCGGACTGGGTCACACTTGTCACACCCGCATTGGTCCAGTTCCCACTCGAATTCGCGAATATCTTGGATTGGCGGTACCCTTCGAATTCGCGGGGTTTCCATAGTTTTACTTCTTTTCGGGGGGGAGGGATCTCCCCCCGGGGAAGGATTTGTGGTGGTATTGCCCCCTTCCAAAAGCCACCACTCGTTCTCCACCCGATGCGAGATTAACACCATTTGTGAAAATTTGTCCCTTCCCGCCAGTTCGAAATAGTTCGTAATACCCTCAACTTTTTTGGTAATGTCGGGCAAATTGAATCGCACTAGGGTAGATCCTCCCCGTGAGGCTTGGTTTTCATCTAACTCCACCTCACAGTAGACTAAACCTTGCGCTGAGACTGCTTCAGTTCCCGCCTTTCCGCGAAGTATGATTCCCTCTGGGGTAGAGTTTACCAAGATTTCCGCCAGGTTTTGTGGAGTCGTTGAATATCTCAGTTTAGAAAAGGTTTCGTAACCCAGGGTTACCACGGAGGGGTCATCGTTGTCCCTTATGCACTCAGTTTTTTCTCGATCCCGCCAAAAAGTTAGGTTCAACCCGGGATCGAAATTTAGTCCCTCAGCGGTTTGGAGCACCCTGATAAAATCGTGGAAACGGTTTAATACTTCGGTAACATCAATGTTCCATCGTAGCACGAATTTTTGTATGAAGAGCAGAATTTGATGGACCGTTTGGCTGAGCAGGTTGTCCTCGTCGAGGGGCGTTTTCTACTGGGGGAGAGGAGGATTCCCATCCCCATGAATTGGAGGACTTGTCCCATCCCGTGATTTATGAAGGATTTGATCTCACTGGAATCTAGCCTGGTTAAGGGTTTTGACTCGTTGAGGGTGCCGATGGCGTCGTGGAGGTCGACGAGCTCGAGGTGAGCACCGCTCTGGCTGAATTCCTTGCCACGTGTGTGCAGCGTGGATAGGTGCTGGAGGAGGGTGTCGGATGGGTCGAATTCCTCGACCACTTTGACAATGGGGGTGGTTTTGACTGGGGCGGGGGCAACTTTGATCGGAGCAACTTTTACAGGGACGGGGTCAGGTCTTTTAGTTTTCTTCATTTGAACCCTGTGGAGAAGAAGGGAAAGTGATTAATGACGAAAATGTGGATAAATTATTATTTTGAAGCAATTCACGCAATCATTGGTAACTTCGTAAAATTTGTAAGTTTTGTTAAATAATTTTACAAACTTCTTCTAAATAAAAAGACGCCTTTGTGGTGAGTAAGTTTACCAACATTTGTAAGATAATTTTCCTTAGAAATATTTGTAAAATTTGGTAATAGTTTTTAAGTTCATATAATTTACCAATGTTATGTACAATGTTACCAAGGTCTGCATAAACAGCCTCAACATAGTTTTACTGACTGAGGAGCAAATTTGAAGTGAAATATGCTTATTCTGAGATAATCAAAAATCCGTATTTTTTCGTTTTCCTGAATAGGCATGTTTTCGTCCTTGGTGGAATTTTCAAAAAAAGTCAGCCAAAATCAGGATTTTTAAAAATTCTGTAACTTTTCGAATTTTAACCCAGTTTCAAAAATTACACCCAATTTGTGTTCAGAATTACATCCCTGAAAAAAAAATTTTACTAAATTGATCTCCTCCTGTATTCAGATATCTCGCCGTAATGCCATCAATACCTCGAAAAAAAATAAACTAGATATTCCAATTCCACAAAGAATTCCAAACACGGTAAAATATCCCACTTAAGTTATCCAGGATAACTTATCCTCCATCCCAAAACTTTTCCACGTCTGCTTCTCTATTTCCGTAATTTTGGTTCGACCCGCAATAATACTTTTGTCCAGGGCCAGATTATATTATGTCACCCCCAGTTGAAGATTGCCCACCCTTTCGCCAACCTGTTGCCCAGGGCGTGCCCACTCCAATTAACCCTCCGTCGATACTTCGCTTTCAAGTGGGCATGCACCCGCCCACGTGATCTGTCCATTGCAATAGGTTTGTCACAATCTGAAACCACCTCCGTAAAAGTTTAAAAGTATAAGTAAAAGTGACCCGGAAATATTTCTGTAATTTGGTGGAATCCGGGTAATCTTGCTAAACTCGATAACCAATTTGTATGCGGATGAGTTTTTCTTGATTTTTACTCCGTTGGCGTCCTTGTTCTGTAAAAATTCCTGAAATACTGCCAACACTAAGAAATACCGGAATTGGAGAGAAATTCTGATGGGCGCGTTAAAAACGGCAGAATTGATTGTTTACCAATTCCTTAAATTTAAAATATATTTACACAAGTAAATGCGGTCCTTCATCCTTCTATATACATATGTACTCATTCAACTATATATTTACAACCCAAGGCTGATCCAGTTTCATAGATTACTCGATGTGAACATACAAAAAGGTATACACACATATATTTTCTGATTTATATATATGTAAGGACAGTTTTGTCCGTTGAGTGATAAATTCCATTACTGACTGTATATCCCCTTCAGTTTCACCTTTTCACTAAGTTACAAGGGAACCACAACTACTGTCCCATCTCGATTTCCTTCGGAATAGCCTTAATCGACAGATAATTTAGTGAAACTAAAACTTTGTCATAGAACATGTGGTGCAAAATCACGTTTTCGCGAAATATTTGGCGAGAACTGCACCAAAACCTGCCATTTTCAGAATGCTTTTAACATAGACACCAGCCTTTCGAACGATGAAATGAACTTTATGGAATATTCAAAAATTATATAAGTACATGTCCGCGTAATTTCAGCCCGATCACGAATGTGCAAAAAAGTGATGCAAACATTTGCCATTTTTTGCAAATTGCAAAAATCGGAAAAATTTCGCCAATTTGAATTCTTCGTTCCTTTATATTCAACAAAATTTAGAAGTTTAACTAATGTAAAATACAATTTTCTTATTGCAAAAAATTTTCAAAAATTTGCAAAAATTGAAGTTCGCAATTTTTCAATTTTTCATTATCATTTTATAGAAACTAAAAAAGTATCATTTACATACATATCTACGAATTAAGGAAAATCTAACTTGTAGAATAACTAACAAATCCCGACATACATTGCAATTTTTTTGCAACTTGCAAAAATAAATATCGCAAATAATTTCTAAAAATGCGTAATTTTGTTGAATTTAAAGGAGCGAAGAATTCAAATTTGCGAAATTTTTCCCATTTTCACAATGTGCAAAAAATTGGCAAAAGCTTGCATCACTTTTTGCATATTCGTAATCGGGATGAAATTACGCAGAAATCTACATATATAATTTATCAATATTCTATAATGTTCATTTCATCGTTCGAAAGACTGGTGGCTATGTTAAAAGCATTGGGAAAATTGCAGGTTTTGTTGCAGCTCTCGCCAAATATTTCGCGAAAACGTGATTTTGCACCGCATGTTCTATGACAAAGTTTTAGTTTCATTAAATTATCTGTCGATTAAGGCTATTCAGAAGGAAATCGTGATGGGACAGTAGTTGTGGTTCCCTTGTTAGTCCTCCTTAGTCCTACAACTTTCTCTCAGTGAGGAGAATATTTGTCAGTGTGAGTAAAAATGTGTTGGTAAATTCTTGCAGTAACATTCCATTTTACAGGTTAGAAAATTAACCCGTTGTATGTATATCCTTTAGTTTAATCATCCTGTGAATGCGTATTACTTACACGAGATACGAAATATTTTAACTTTAGTTAAGCAGAAGTAAAAATGGAAAATATTCCACTTAGAAATGAAATTGAACCAATTGAGCAAGAAAACCCATTCAGCCTTCTTCCTATTGAGGTGAGAAATTAAACCTTCAAACCTTACTTTAAGCGGACAATTTATCATCAACTATTTATTCATTCGCCATAATTCAATAATAATATCTTTTATTTCCGATGTATCCATAAGGACTTCATCCTTAATTCTGCCATTAACAATGGGGAAGCAAAACATGTTCTTTGAAGATTATTTTCCGACCATGTTAATTTGAAAAAGAAGCCCCATATTTAGTGCGACACTTGCGCAAAATTCAGCAAACCTTTGGCGCCGCAAGTTCGCTCGATTTTTTAGCGGAATCTGTACTTTTGGCAGCAATTACGCCTAGCAGCGCTCAAAACTTGCTGAATTTTTTGCGTCTGTTCAAGTACCGCAGTTAATGATGCTCTCAACGAGTTGCTCTTTCGAACCAACCAATATGGTCGAAAAATTGTCTTGGTTGAACATGGTTTGCGTCCCCATTGTAAGTACAGGGTGGTCCAAGAAGCTGTATAAAAGTTTAAGCCACCCCAATTCAAAGCCCAGATAATAAAATTCCAATTTGAAGCCAAAATCGTGTAGACCAACTCAGAAAATAGTTTTGTGAATTTTTTTGTAAACCTAATTTCAAAAGTGCTCCCACGGTGATCAGGTGAAGGACAGGTACCAGTGACGGGCTGTTCCAATCGATTTTTCACGGGAAACGTTATAAAAAGAGCTTAAAGTATGTTCCCATGGAATGAATTTGCAATTAATTTATAGAGTGGTACCTAGTGGAGATATGCAACGTAAATCCAAGGGTCTAATATCATTGTCACCACTGAGAAACTACACAATGCTAAATGCCCGAAATAGCTGAAAATTTGGTTTACCTGATTTAACCAACCACCAAGATCCCTTGTCCCAATGCAGCACGGTCCAACGGTTAGATTACAATAAATCAACTTTCCAGAGAACCATTAAAACTGATTTAGAAAATATCATAACAAAAATGACCTAAAGTAGGTCGACGCTTTGAGAGAAATCAAACTTTTTTCCGCTTACTGCGGAGAAATCTCACCAGTGCGCAAAAACGGACTACGATAATTTTGGTTCTGCAGTCATAAAAAATCAAGACATCCCTGGGTGGTCATCAGACATTGATAGATTGGATTAATTCTGATGTTTCGTCGTGGAATGACAATTATCACATTTGACAATTTATGAATTTTCACGCACTTTGGAACGCTTAAAATAATTAGTGGAAGAAAGACACCTTAGAAAAGTCCCTGGATGTTTTTTGATCGGGTAAAAAGCGATATATTCTTAAAGATAAGAACAAGGACAATCACATCCAGCAAGTTTGAAACCCATAAAGTTCCGCCAGCGGGCTAGAAAAATTATGGAATATTTATACAGCTTCTTGGACCACCCTCTGTAATAATTGAGTATGATTTTGTATAAAGAATTATGTATTTTTTCATAAGATAAAAATTACCCGTGCCAGCGTACAGATTGTATAATGAAAGTTATATGTAATTCAGACCCAATATGATAGATACAGTATGATCTGTGTCTTTTTGTAGTATTCATATAATACATGTGCAAATGATTAACTTTTTATTATTTTAAAATTGCAGTAAGCTCTTTTTACTGGTTTTTATTGTGCACTTACATAGATCTTTATAAAATTAAGAACTGACTGGACTTATTTCATTTTAGGATTAGTACATAGAAAAGAAGCATAGAATACATAGATATTTATACATATTTCGCACCAAATGACAAATTGCCAGTGGAATAGTGGAATTGAAGACTAGTTAGAATATGTAGTATGCATATTTTTTCGTGTTTTAATACTTACTTCTACCTTAATTCCAGATCATCGACAAAATATGGGCCTATCTAAATCTGTCGTTCCTAAAAATTACTCGTCAAGTTAATTCTGACTGGCTGATGTGGTCCTCTCGCCGTTTTAGAAGTTTGTCTGTTATCACATTCTATTCATCAGTTCTTGCTGATCCATCATCTAGTCGATATCAGAAATGTTTGGGCTCCGAACTATCCAAATATGTTGAACTGTATCCTCAATACCTCCACCAAAACTTTAAGATTTCCACAACCACGCTAGATCTTTTGCTTAGTAAGGAGAAATCACCACGCGACTCCGTTCACACTTTTATGAACCATATTGTCAATTTCTTTCTTAATTATGGATCCCACGTTAACAAACTGACTCTGCAGCAAGCATATATGTGGAATGGCCAAACGGAAACTCCTCAAACCCAAATATTTTCATTTTTTCGCACGCTGTTACGTACAACAAATAATTTGACATCGCTCACCATATCCTTCGATATGTTTATGCAGGTATCAGAATACTAGAGTCGGTATATACATAGAAGACGTAGGACAGCCACTATCGTGGCCAAACACGCAGGATTTAGCCTCCTTCTTTTGCATCACTATTTTTGGGCTGTCTGCAACCGGATTTGGTGCTCCATGCTTCTAAATAGTTAAGTCAAACACTGTAAAAACTTGTTTGGATCATAAACCCTTATTCCTCTATTCAGCATTATTGTCAATACTTTATGGAGTTTTAACTGCTTGAAAATGTCGAATTTTCCGATAAAACCTAGTTTCAAGTATGGGGCAACAAATCCAAGTGCAGACAGCAGAAAGTATGTATGTAAGAAGACCAATGGTACCTTGTTTCAAGCTACACCGGGACTTTCTTGCAAATTATGTCACAAAATGAAGCCGAAAATTAGGAATCACGTGTAACTTATCTTTCCGTTGAATGACCTATTTAAAGAAACAATATTGTGGGCCAAGTTCAAACGCGCCTCAGGTTTTTGCCCAGTAAAATAACCCGAAAATTGAACTTTACCGTCAATATTTTCCTTCAAACGCCTTCAACGCAAAGATAAAGATAAATGTCATGTGTTTCATAATTTTTTTTGGTGACGCGTCAAATTGACCCACGACAAATTGACCCGCACATATTGACCCAGCGACAGATTGACCCGGCACCATATTGACCCAGCGACAGATTGACCCAGCACCATATTGACCCAACGACAAATTGACCCAATACCATATTGACCCAAGTCATATTGAACCACGTCATATTGACACATGACCTAGACATACTGCATTTTTTATACAAAAAAACTTAATTTTATTTCATATTTCTGGTCACATATCCAATCAAAAATTGAATTGTTCTAATAATTATTGGTCCTCCTTCTGTAAAATTCCTTAATTTATTAGTAATGAAGTCATTTAACCAACCGTACTAGTATACTAGTACGGTAGTAGTCTGTAATACCTATTATAATAGGTATTTCTATTACGATTCTTAATTTAAGAAGAGTGAGTGCACATGGAATGAACATAAGCCATAAGTGTTTTGATGGTATGACCACATTTGCGCCCGCCACACCCACTCAAGGTGGGCAAATATAAAGAAAATATCATCAAACGGTTTACAAAAATTTTATTTTGTTCAGATTTTGAAGATGCACTGTGTAGCACAGTGTAGTCGTCCAAGCATGTGTGCAAAGAAGGCAGCCTTTTTGCTTTCATGCCTTTTTCAATGCCCTTTTATCTTTATGTGGGCCGTTTTGGCTTTTTGATGCCGTTTTGTCTCTTTTATGCCTCTTTGCTCGATTTTTGACGATGGCACCCGGTTTCTTGTCGTTTATAACGTATTAAAGAAATTACAGAATATATTTTATGTTTTTGAAATTGTATCGGAGGGTTCTGGCTTTCATCAATACTTCAAATTAGTCTCATAAGAAAAATACGACCAATAATTATTAGAACAATTCAATTTTTGATTGGAATATGTGACCAGAAATATGAAATAAAATTAAGTTTTTTTGTATAAAAAATGCAGTATGTCGAGGTCATGGGTCAATATGACTTGGGTCAATATGGTATTGGGTCAATTTGTCGTTGGGTCAATATGGTATTGGGTCAATCTGTCGTTGGGTCAATATGAGCGGGTCAATTTGTCGTGGGTCAATGTGACTGGGTCAATTTGACATGCAATCATTTTTTTATATATAACTCGCGAGAAAATCTTCGTATAGCTTGATAAAAGGTTCCATTGTTTGTAAGTCCTGCATGTTTGGTCAGATTTTACGTTATATACATTATCCCCTTGACAATTTGCAGGATGACATTATTGACATAAACTCGTTCCCAACGGAGGGTCTAGCAAATTGGTCGTGCCTCAAGGAACTCCACGTCCACCTCGCTGGGTTGGACTATGATAAAAACGCAAGATCCAAGTTCCTCATCGTGCTTCCGACCATTTTTAGAAAAGCGACGAATCTAAAAACCTTTACGTACTTTGGTAAACCTAATTATCTTACGAAGGGTATCCAACTGGTAACGAGTGATTCTGCAGAAAAAACTTTATGCAAATTGGAAACACTAGGAAGTCCAGAGATTGCTTTGGATTTCTCTAAAACTACGAAGGAGCACCACTGGGCTATCCTGAAATTAAATATGAGACTGAAAAAAGTCTATCTTCGTCTCGCTGGTGATATTGAGCTACACATTTTGGAGAAATTCAAGGAAACATTGGAATTCGTTTGGATAGGCGCTTACGGTCCAGATTTTAGCCTTCCTCCACTATCTCGAGTTATAGAACTTGTTGTCCGAGATGAAGTCACAAGTAAGTTCAACTTCGAATATTCGATGCAACCATTATATGCTACCCCGGGGTGTTGGTTTTATGCGGGTTTTGACGAGTTTTTTTGGGTAGCAAATAAATATGAGCAATATCCACGGGTAGTATTTAGTGGTTTTCAAATTTTATAAAGTGGATGCTATAAATAGGTATTATACATAGTTTTGAATTATTTATATGTATTCATATAAACATAGACTTCGGAGAGGAACATCGCCATGAAATACAAAGGATTAAACAGGAAAAATCAAAGAAAAGTATGAACCTATTTAACATTGACGAAATGTTTAAGGTAAATTTACCCGTATTTATTTATGCAGTTCCGATTATATCAGTTGAAAGTATTTTTTATTTTAAAATATTCACATCACTTACCGGTTCTTCTTAGAAACACCAGGAATCAAATTTTTGTCTTCCTCAGCTTCGTCACTTTGAATATACCATGAAGTCGAGATTATGCTCCCAGCCATATGAGGACGCCTACTGCGTGGAATTGTTTAATTGCATATTTCCGAATTGTGACACACCACTTCCCCAAATTGTAAGATTGGATATTACCTATCCATCGAATGAAGTTGATTATAGCTTGATTACTTCAAAGTTAGCTAAACTTTTTCCAAATGTTCATAATATTCACTTCAATTCTGCTAGACATTTATATAAGCAAAAAATATCAGAGCACATCGACATAGGCCTACATACTGCGACTACACATACATAGATTAATGGGCTGCAATCATACTTACAAGCTACAAGTATATAATTTTTTTACTGGACTGCGTTGTTTTTTTGAGCGAAAAAGTAGAAAATTTAAGAGGTATAAGTTTTTAAAAAACTATCTAAAATTTGGAGCCCCTGCTGGAGAAAATTCGCGCGGCGACGCACGCCGCCAACCCTGACTAAGGAGGAGAGACCCTCTGCATGCCCCTCTCAGATCTCGATGCGCTTTGGATATTTGAGAGTCACTCCAAGTCAAAACCTTCGATCGGAGGAGAGTCATGAGAGCGGAGATGTGGTCTATCCACTCCGAGCGACACAACTGACGGTGGGGCTCGCAAGCAGTGGGCGTAGCAAGGGCTGTCATTTTGTATGTCGACACGGTCTGGGCTAGTTTTTTTAACTTATATGTTTTGAAATCAGTGTTGCAAATAAGTCTTGATTCATGTGACACTTGAAATCGCCACTCAAAGTTTTGATTACGCCCCTTGTTTTTCCATCATTTTGGGAATATTCCCACCCATAAGATAACATGTGCCACTAAAATCACAATAACTTCCTGCCCCCACTTATGTTTGGCGTAAAAATTTTTTGCTGTAAACTATTTCGATATTAGATCATAATTTCAAAAATTTGAGAAAAACATGAGTGGGGGCAAGAAGTTACAGCGCTTCAAAATTGTCATTCAAAATTTTGAAAAGTGAAAATTTTGAAAAGTTGAAAATTTTACCAAGTAGATTACGGCAAATAGAATAAAGTGCAATTAGGAGTAAACTGTGTCAAAAATCTGTTGCACTTTATATTTCAATTGCAACGCATTTTTAAAATTTCGAAAAATAATAATAACTTGGCTAATATTTGAAATTAAATTATAATTTTTTTGACGTTAAGTTCTTTTACATACAGACTACTGGCTATTATTTATAAAATCGGGGACAAAATCTGAGACCTATGCCGCAATTGGAAATAGGCCTTCAAAAAAACTGAGTCTTGATGCAATTGCCACATTTGCGCCCGCCACATCTCCTCAAAGGTGTGAAAGCCACAGAAAATGCCCTGTTTTCGTGTGCTTCAACTGTTAGCAAAATTCCAATTTTGCTCGGATTTTAACTCCGCACGGCGCCCAAATTCCAATGTTAAAAAAATAGGAGATCAAATTTTTTGGCAGGGGCGCGCATTAAATGGTACGATAGGCGGCGTCTAATTCTGATGCGATAATAACAAGGAGTGCGCTTAACCATTTGACGTGAAGCGTATTGTTAAGAAACATCATATCATGGTACTTAATGTTATGTATATATGATTATACATAAATAAGTGGTACACAGTGAGAAGAGACAGAGGAGAGTATTTATTAGTAGAGAGTTAAAGCTGGAGTGATGTACAGATTCATAACTAATTACATATACATATCTACGTAGGCATACATATACCTAACACTACCCTCTCACGAAAAAATTTTTCTCCTGAAAAATAGTCTGAAAGAGTGTGTAGGTTTGCAAACTAAAAATTTAAAGAGCAACAATTTTAGTGAGAAATTCGAATTTTTGTTGGACTTACATACATACATATTTAGGATTCATGGAAAAATGGAAAATGAAATACGAAATGACTCCGAAAAATAAACATTAACAAAGATTTTACATGAATAACACTGAACAATTTAATACACATATCGAATGACGCAGTAATTTTGCAGGGCTGGAACTTGAGAAGATGGTATGGCTCGCAATCGGTGGTGGAATTGTGTCATCTCAGGCGTGGTGGTGGTTGACTCAAATAAAACTTGCAGATTAGGACAAAACGATGAACAAAGAGAAATAAATTGTTGTGGTCTTGGTATGTGGTCCATCGGGACATCGGAGGAATACGCAGACTTGTGAGGGTTTTGTGGGGGTGACCCATAACCGGACAACTCGAAGACGCAGGGTTTTGTGTGGGTGACCCATAACCGTGACTCGTTAAAAAAGAGGAACTATGTACAATGTGGATTTCCATACTTGAACACGCAAATAATATGTAGACGTTGCTCATTACAAATATTAATCTCAAGGCGTTATATTTCATTCTCAGCCTGGGAAAGTGGTGACAACGCAGATCGAGCATAAAAGTTCAGCAGAATTTTGAGACAAGGTGAATCAGATTACATTTTTGCAACAAAATTTGATAAAGAATTGGGACAATTTTCCAGACGAAATGAATAAAAATGAGTTTTTTGCATATATTTTGCAGAAGTTTTGCAAATTTTGAACGAATTTTGATGAAAATTTTTCAGAAATTAAATGGAATTTTTTAGCAATATTTTTACGATTTTTTAACAATTTGGAAGGACAATTTTGCATATATTTTTTGACGTGTTTAAAACAAATAACGGAATTTTGAATTTTGCATATTTGCTCGAATTATGAAATGTAAATGTTGGACTGGAGATTTGGAAATTTTAAGAATGGGGGAAGATTTGCAGGGTGGTTTAGAACCAATTTACAGACCTGATAGCATCCGGGAGGATAATCCAATTTACAGACCAGATGACGAAAATTCACAAAAAAAGTTTCACAGGAAAATCACACAGTTTACGCAAGGTTTTGAGAAGAGAGATTTGGGAAGTTTCCCTATCGGAAGCAAAATGACAAGCTCTAAGGGGCGGTGGTCAAGCTGCTTAGTCGTCGCAGTCGTAGCAAATTTGGTAGGTGATATGTCTTGCGAAGAATTTTGAAAATTTTAAAATCCATTATGAGTGGGAGGAGCGAAAGAAAGTACTCGACGGTCCACCAATGTTATGTATATATGATTATACATAAATAAGTGGTACACAGTGAGAAGAGACAGAGGAGAGTATTTATTAGTAGAGAGTTAAAGCTGGAGTGATGTACAGATTCATAACTAATTACATATACATATCTACGTAGGCATACATATACCTAACAAACATTTTAACTTTTTAGACTCTAACAATGCGATGATGTGAAGTGTAACCCTCCGATTTGATTTACCAGCCCGAGGAAGCAAACTCAACTTCAATCCTCTTCCCTTCCCAAAAATCGCATATTTTTCGACTTTGACCTTAAATATTTTGGCAAATTCTAACCATCGCACAAATTTCCTGAAGAAACGTTGGTTGTATTGACATGGACCTCGTAATTTCAAAATTTCAACCAAATCGGAGGGTTACACTTCACACCACCGAATTGTAAGTATGTATGTACATACATATAAGCTTATTAAAATTATAACGCTTTTAGGGTGCATAGTTTCTTTCCACAGGGAATTGTATTACTTATTTTAATCATTCGTTCGTTCGTTTACTGGTAGTTCATTGAATGAGTGGCCAATTTGCTGCATTAATATATCTAAGTAATATTTTTAATTTATATTATTCGAACTTGTTGCGAATTATGTATAATAGTGATATATTTAGAATTAATTCGTAGAGGAGAATATTTGATTTGATTTTGATTTGAAAAAGATTATAAAATTTGATTTTGATTTGATTCGAATAAATTAATTAGAGGCATAATTACAGGCTTAATTAGAGGCATGCAAAAAATCCAAAATTCTAACTGTTAGTATTGGACTCCATTCATACAAGTATATAAATAAACAGAGAGTAATAATGTGGAACTGGTTACAAAACAACTAATATAAATTAGTATCAATATTGTTGACAAATCTACCATAAAAATAAATTACTGTTGAGGACGAATTACTTTTAAATCTTCATCTCGTCTCTAATTGTCTTTTGGATATGTCTGTTACAAAACTAATTTCTGTAGAGATCGACATTTTGGTTTATATTCCTTACATTCTGATGAATTTTGATGGTCCTTCAAGCTTTCCTTGGCTAAGAATTGTACGTTACAAGGTGAGCAAAATGGTCCACTAGAAGTCAATCCGATATCCTTTCCCACGGAAAATTTTCGAATAAGACGAAACAGCTACATAAATATAATGAAATGATAAATTTAGAAAGTAATTGAATATGTATGTATGCATGTACAAGTTTAGACTAGGACAAGTTTTTTTAATTACCATAATCTCTGTTCTCATGATGAAAAATATATTGTCATCTATAATTTGGATATCGTGTGGGAAACTAGCCTTGTGCTCACGCTCATAAATTGCGCAGTCCAGATCACAAGTCTGATAAACCTTTAAACTAATTTTGTCTGAAATTTGTTGGCAAATCAGAACATGATCGCCTGTTGACCTGATCAATGTAGGACGGTCTTTGAGATGAGTCAGCATTTTCGGGAGAATCTCCGGTTTCATTTGATGCTGGTATATTTTCAAATCGCTACCTACACAATGTTGAATAATTAATTTAACCTCATTTAGACCAAATTCGTCATATGGCGTATTTCAAAATACGTCCCTATGAGACCAAATATGTCACAACATGTGTCAAAAAAATCCGTTATGCACACCAAGTCATGCACGTTACGTGATGCACGCTAAATTCATCGTACCATGACGACCCCCCTTGAGGACCGAATACGTCATATCGAGTTTAAATAAAGCAGATTTCTTAAAATATATACGAAAGTTTCTTTGGTACTTTTTGGATGCTACATAGTTGCATTTTTTTGATATTTTTCTGCACAAATTGTGAAATTTTCCCTATACCGAGTAATATTAAAAAGTGGATTTTTTATGGGTTCCGTCAAAAAACTCCAGGTTTGGAAACTGGTTGAAATCAGAATGTGCAAAAAGGCGCCTTTTTGAGAAAAAATTTATGCCTTTTTGCCGTTTTGCCCGTTTCAATGCCCAATTGCCTTTTTGCGTGCCTTTTTGCCCATTTGATGCCTTTTTGCCGTTTTGCGTATGTTTCCATTGGGTAATGCCTGAACCATTTTTCTTAGTGAGGCAAATACCTGACAACGAAAAAAATTTGCTTAGTATGCATTTACCCCACCCAAAAAAAGTGACATAAGTCGATTTCTCGGCCATTTCTCAACGGATTTTGATGAAATTTTGCACAGATCATTGTTAGGTAATTTAGAAAAGATGTGCTAGTCGACTTGGCGAATTTTTGATTTTTACCCAAGTTATGTGCCAAAATGTGCAAAAATTTTCCCCTGAAAGCATATTTATTTTTATGATTCATAAGTGGTGTATCTCAGCATGCTCGCTTATTGAAAATATTTTAGTTAAAGTCATTCCGGACATTTTAAGCGCAAAATGACCTAAATCGGTTGAGAAATAACGGCGTTATTCAAAAATTTGAAAATCAAAAATTTAATAAAAATATTCAGGGTGCCGATAATAACGGCGGTTGTGCAGTAAAAATAATGTCTTTGACAACCAATTACAAGTTTTAAATAAACAAGGCCCCAAAAAATGGGAAATCTTAGTGAGCCAGCGCAATCACAGTTAATAAATAAAATTAGATTGAATAACTTTTGCATCACCGCACTCGGGATAATTTTTACTGGGTCCACTGTAAATTTAGTTTTGCATAAGCATGAACTGTTGCATTCATTAAATTAATTGAGATTACAAGACGACGTTTTTACTATTGAACGAGAAGTTGGCTAAATTAATTGATATGAAATATAATTGTGAACTGCGAATTTTAAATTTAGAAAGAGTCGAAAGTCTACAATTTCGATATATAAATTTGGATATCCAATTAATTCCTATTCTGATGAAATCTCCAGACCCTTGGCGGGGGGGGGGCAATTATTCTAAATGATTAACTAATGCTTCCAGGAAAAATTATCCCGAGAGCGGTGATGCAAAAGTTATTCAATCTAATTTTATTTATTAACTGTGATTGCGCTGACTCACTAAGATTTCCCATTTTTTGGGGCCTTGTTTATACTAATTTTTCTATAGACAAGAAAATGTGACAACAGTAATAAGCTTTACATTTTGGTTTTTCTAAAACGTTACCAACCTTACACTTCTGCATAACCAATCTACAACATTACTTCCTTACGCAGTCATGATAATTAAGAGTATTTGTGAAGATTTGTACACCTCATGATGTGCATAAATTTTTTAGTGGTGTCGGCGATCATCCAAATGGGATTAATAAACATAAATTAATTTTTCATTGAATAATTAAGTTATGACAAATCCTGTGAATTGTGAAAGATTACAACTAACAAATCATGAGATCGTATTATCATATTGCCCCAATTTTACCAAAAAGGCAAAAAGGCATTTCGGGCAATCGGGCACGGCCACAATTCACGTGCCTAATAGGCAAAAAGGCATTTTAGGCACGGCATGCCTTTTTGCCCTTTCACACTCTGGTTGAAATATGAATATTGGTATTTTATAGGAACTAATGAAAATTTAATTGGTTGCTACCAGATGTAGTTATGAATTCAATACCGTACTTACGGGATTTTTTATGAATTTTGGTCACAGTGAGGTTAATAGGATCTATAAAAATTATTCATATGACTCGCCTAAATATATTGGCAGGCAGTTATTTTGCAGACAGAATCCAATTGCCGAGTGCTTAAGATTGACAGGGTTCATGCTGCCTCGGGAGATAGTTTCATTGTCCTTGACATCCGTTAAATAAAATCGTATCTCATTCGACGAGGACGAGGTACCTCGTTCAGGCTGCGGATACATAACCGCTATTAAAATCAAGCATGAACAAATATTAGGAAAATGAGAAAAAAGGATACCTTCTCAAACGATGTTGCAAATAGTACACAATCTCGACCAGCACTATCTGATATTGCCAATGCGTCTCTAATTTTACTTGGAGGAACATTAACTCCCTGGCGCTCCACATATTCTCCTTGTAGAATTGTATCCAACGACGTAATTTGGCCAGTTTCGAAAATTATAAAAATTTGTCCATTTTGATTATTTATTATACGGTCAGCTCTTTTTGGGAGCTAAAATATGTAATAAACATGTTTGTGATATTTAAATTTATATGACATATGGACAGAATCATAGCGAATATTATGTTACAGACCTGAATTGATTTATCATTCTCCTCAAATGGCGACTTATCTATCGACCAGTGTAGAAGCGTTACATGATTGACGATTCCCACATACGAGTCTATTTGCTGATTATATAACACTGCGCTAGAAAATTCCTTTGGACTAATTTTCCAGGTTTTTTCCGAGCGTAATGAGAAAATCTTAAAATATATTTAGTAAAATTCAGAAAGATTTATATATAAAAATTTGGTTAATTAAAATCATACATTAAATTGCATTGTAATTCCATGCGTTCCAGTTATCATGACTCGATGAGCCAGCTTATCGCGTGAAATTCCCAAAATATCTTCAGCGGATCCAATTTCACAAATACGGTAAGAAGCACCAATTCGTGGGAAAGTGACTTTATCTCTAAACACAAACGACAAATACCATAATTATCTAATATATACATTTTTAAATTCACCCAGTTTTAAAACGTACGCATTTATAAATATGTACAACTGAAAGGATAGCACTTGCTTAAAATATTTCTAAGGTATGTAATTGTTTCCGATTTTATTATTGCGAGCAGCATCAACATGTGAATTATGAGCTGGAAAAATCATGTATTTTTACCTCTGAGTTTTTTTTTTGCTTGAAGTTCCTGGTTCACTCATATTTCTTCGAATTTAAAGTGTTTTAATTGTTAAAATGCAAACAATATTTTATAAACCAGCAAAATAACAAATTCTGTCCAGTTTTTTATGTTTTTTCTCACTGGAGAAATAGTGTCCAGGAACAAGCGTATTTCGATTTGAGACGACTACTTGCACTGAAGTTAAACAATTTTAGTCAATGAAATTTGTAAATATTTATTTGTTCAGATTTCTGTATTTTGAGTTTTTCACAAATTTTTATTAATTAAAGCTGGTCTAGCCAATTAAGTAACTATATCAGCACTATGTTTTGACCAAATGCTTTAATCAGTTTTATTTTCTCAGTTTTATCAGTTTTATTATGTCTCGATTAATTAATCAGTAATTAATCTACCTATCGCAAAAATTTATTATATGTACTTAATTGACAAGAGGTTGATGCATACATACATACGATGAGAAAGGCAAGATCATCTTTATATAAAGTTGGCATCAGTCATCAATATTTCTCGCTTAATATAGACGTATGTATGTACTTGCATCCGGCCATACATACATACATACATATTACAACTTTGCAAGCCAGCGTGGGTATTGTACATTTGAAGAAAATTGCATATTGGTGCAGTTCAATACAGAAACATAATAATCCAGATAGATTGTAACACAACGGTGGTGGTCACTAAATAGCATTTGAGATGAGCAAAGTTTAAGACCAGGTAATGTGTTAAGATATCAGCTTCTTTTCTGCTGTGCTGATTTCCGGACTGGAATTTGCTGTGAAAGGTATCCTGGAACTCTGCGTCCATCTATCGTACGGATAATTGTACGGAGTATTGTCGGTCAGTTTTCTGTGCACAAGATGTCTAGATTTTGTTCATAGGAAACGCAACGTCCATTTCATAGCTACCGAAATTACCCATATTTTGCATACATGTTCTCACCTGGAACTATCTAGGCACTCAAACACGTAAAGAATTATCTAAGTCGTTCAGTACAGGATTTTAAATCAAATCTATCAATTATCCATACATACATGAGATAAGTAAAATTATTCCGAAGACTGTATTGTCCAACGAGTCGAATTATCTACGTAGTTTGCATTCCTGACATTTGTGCAAATGGAAACATTAAATTTATTGACTTAAGTATGCATTTATTAAATAATGGATTTTTATCTTAAATATTATACATATATGTACATACACCATAATGTATTTAACCTATAAAATAAAAGTCATTAAATTATTTAATTATTTTGTTACTTACTTACTGCAGCGTGGCTTTCATCTCTGGCAATTGTAATTTTATACATGACCAGTGACCGAGCAATCGTGGGGACAGACGGACAATATCTTCAGGCTTATTTCATGCACCATCATCCACCCATTATATAAACCCCTCTCTCTCATATCCCGCAATGTGCTTGACTAATTTGTTTCTTCCAATGTATGCAATTCTTTGCTTTATGTATTTGCAACATACTTAATTCTTAAGCAGTTCGCAAGATTAGTGCATCGTTTTACCATGTTCATAAAATAATCCGTTTCTTATCTTTTCTTGAATGAGCCGAACATCATCATTCACAAGGAAGACAGAATATTCATGTACATAATTATAAAAAAATGCAGCATACAACTTGCCCTTCGCTTCCTCTTTGCATACCAGTTACAAAGGCTGACAACCGGCTTGGGAAAATGTGAATTAAGCAGAATGACGGCGAACCACATTGGCGTATTGGATTGTATCAATTTTAATGTAACCGTGGTTGGTAGGATTAGGGAACAGTTCGATTGAGAATATAAAAATACAGGTAATTTTTAATGCCGGAAATAAGTTATACGCACATTAAATTCTTTACAAGAAAACAGGATGCTGAGCGTATAAAGCGATGGGAAGGAACCGCGGAGCTCCATGAGGTCGTTCTGGAAACGTTAATACAGCAAATGTTTTAGATATTAGAATAAAAGTAGGAATATATAAAGTATTAATAATTAGTATATGTACACTGATTGATTGAGAAGGCCTAATTTGCGATAATATGTTACTATTTGTATTGCGCTAAGATTTTTATTGTGTTACGCATAAAAATTTCCCGTCCAATCTTGGCTGCTAAGTAAATAAATAAATATGTATGCATGATACGACGAGGTATGAAGAACTGCGGTCTAACATACATATTTTTATTAGGTATTAGATAAATTCATCTCCACCTTTACTCAGAAATCTCACCGTAATGAGACCAAAATCTCGACAAAAAACGAAACTATCACAATCCCACAAAGAATTCCAAACACGGTAAAAATCCCACTTAAGTTATCCCCCATCCCAAAACTTTTCCACGTCTGTCTCTCCATTTCCGCAATTTTGGTATAATTCCGAATTTCCCTCTCTTTCGAGACGCGATACCACTTTTGCCCTAGACCTGACGACATTAACCGCGAAACTCGATCTAGCACGATGTCATCTCCCCAGTTGAAGATTGCCCACCCTTTCGCCAACCTGTTTCCCAGTGGGTGCCCACTCTTGCTAACCGACCTCCGTGGATACTTCGCCTTCAAATGGGCATACACCCGCTCCACGTGATCCGTCCATCCCGCCATTGCAATTGGCTTCTCGCAATCGGAAATCACGTCCGTAAAAGTGTAATTTCCCGCGGAAATATTTCTGTAATTTGGTGGAATCCGGGTAATCTTGCCCAACTCGATGACCGTCCTGTATGCGGATGAGTTTGTCTTGATTTTTACCCCGTTCGAGTCCTTGTTCTGTAAAAATTCCTGAAATACTGACAACACCGAAAAATACGCGAACCCCATGTCCGACTGGGAATGGTTTAAGACAGTCATGTACGATGAGACGTCGGTGGGCGGGGTAAAGACGGTGAATTTATTGTCAACCAACTCTTCAAATTTAGAATATATTGGCGCCTTTGGGGGCACCGTGCAACGTTTGACGTATTCTCCCTTGTACGAGTTACTTAGGACAAGGGCACACAAAATCCATGCTGCACAAATTATATACCTAAACCGTTCCGGGTTCAAATTATGTGTTAACCTCCCAGCATTTTTTGATAGGTCGTTACTCTGCTCAAGTAGAGTAGCATACCCGGCGAAGAGCACGTTTTCCCAGAAACTTGACGAGCCTGCCGATAAAACGGAAGATATTGTTAATCCCGCCAATAAAATTAGTACCCACGTGGCTCCATCTAGAGGACTTGTCAAATCGAAAATCCTCCCCAGCGATGAAACGTCTTTTTCATGACACGACGTAAATTCAAACCCTTCCTCCTTATAGCTTAAAGGTTGCGCGAAAAATAAATCCATCATGAAGAAAGGTCCGTTCGACTGGCCGGTCATTATCCGAGGGTTATAAATGCTTATAAACATCTTAACGTATTTGACGCCGTTTTCAAGATCTGGCTCCAAAATCTGATTGTCTAGGGAGAGGTGATTAATCTTCCATGTTCGGTGTAACACGCCGCGAAGAATTTTTGAAATTTGCGCGCTAATCGCCTGCCTGGAGAGAAATTTCTTGTCTAATGTCGGGATAAATTTGGCGCAACAATGGAGACATGTTTCGCACATGAAATAAAATTGTAAATTCTCCGTTGTCAGCAAAATTCCGAACAAACTTGGCGCCACGTAGTAGACCCGTTTTCCTTTAATAAGCGGATTTGCCCATTTTCCCCAACGATTCGGATTTGTCACATTCGTCACAAGAATGCGGAAATAATCACGTTCAGAAATTTTGAAGGGTCTCGATAATTCGTCCAGTCTTCCGGCAAAGGAGTTGCCAACGCTAATGCGGTGCGTGCGGAGCCTTTTGGTAGAGGTGAGTCGGGTTAATCTGATTCAACCCGCCAAATCTTAACCCTATCGGGTTCAGAAATTAGCGGGTCCGAATTTCAAAATGTTTCACCGTACCCGAGGAGAGTTGGGTTTCGGGTTAACCAGGTAAAACCCGGTAAAACCCGATCCGCCCGTAACCAGATCGGGTTCGGAAATTTATCGAGTCGGGTTTAGCACTTGTTAGGATAGGGCTCAGAAATTATTTTTAGATTGGGTTCGAAAATTAGTAGGGTCGGGCGGGTTTTCAATATGCTTGACCCGACTCATCTCTACCTGTCCGAACAAGATGACCGATTCGGAGTGGGATATGTGAATCGGAGGGTATAAATGGAACTCGGCGGCGCACAACGTTCGCGGTATGGGGAAATAAGTTGGCGCTGTTACCACCTCGGTCCAGATGCGGTCTATCCTAGCATCATAATATTTGGCCTCTTCTACGGGCGAGTCTAGATTGAAGTGTCGCACTTTAAGCTTGACTCTGACCGCGGGAAATGAATCGATTAACCAATTCGTTTCAGAAAAGTCGAACAGTATGACGAGGCAGGAATTGAAGAGGTTGATAAAGTTTGCCATTTCGGGGGAAGGTCGAATAGAAGTGAGGAGAAGAAGCTTATGGATTAAAATTATGATTCCAATTAAAAAGTTTATTAAGTTTTGAGACATTCTTAAATTATTTATGAGGGCAAGATGATTCAGTCCTGATCAGCACTCGGTTGGAACATGAATGAGAACCTTTGTTTAACAAGGCTCAATAAGTATTTTGTAAGTAATTGAAATTTAAATGTCACGTTCCCACAGAGTTTAACCGATTCCATTTGTGAACAAATCTTTAACCCAACAAGTCTGGGGTGGAGCTGTTTGCTCAGCACTTTAAAATATTGCCCGTGCCTCATAAACCTAAAGGAGTTTTGTTTTATTTTTATGCAAAAATTACATTGGTGCATGGACGTAATATAAAATGTGTAATTCAATACGGCTATCTTTTATCAAAACAGAAACGTGACCAGATCGATATGTGGCTTAAGTATAATCGCTAGTGCATTTGGATAAGTGTGGGATTAAGTGTTTTTACTAATGTTTAATGCACATTCAAACTTATGTAATGTAAATATGTATGTATGAATGTAATATGTATACATATATGTAGATAGTTCATACGTATATACATTCCTGTACGGTACGTATTTACTTTAGGTATTCTTATCTTAGGATAAGATCTTAGGCATTTTAAGGTTATTCCTTAGGCATTTTAAGGTTATTTAGTGTATTTATTTCTGTACTTGTGTATTAAACTTGCACCAAAATTAAACACGTACATATGTAAGCAAGAGTTTATTGGTTACACCGAATTTTTTTGACCCTACCATGTTTCACATAGGAGTATTTAAGCATTATGTATTATTTAAACATTATTATGTTTAGAAACTAAACAGTTCAGGGTATGTATATGTAGGTTCTCATGAAATGTATTTCTGGAACTCTCTCCAAAGTCGGCTGAAAAGAGTTGACACCTTTTTTAAAAATATATTAGTACGGATTTTCCTACACTCAAAATAAACTGGTAATAAAATGATGAAAATATTTACTACCACGTGATGGTAATTACAACTAATA